ATTTAAGCATCCAAAAAGTCAAGGAGACCTGGTTCTGCTGGACACCGAAGTTCCCAGGAATGCGAGCTCTGGTTGATAAGCGGACACGGAGAGCGACCCACGAGGTAAAAGCCAGCCAGAGTTCCTTTCCTACAGGAAAATTCCAGTAAAAGCCATCATTCAGCTCCTGGCTCAGCATCCACCTTCTCCGGCCAGCCTGGAGCTCCAGCTCAGCAGCATCCCTGGAAGTGTCCAAGGCCAGGCTTGGAGCACCCTGGGACAGTGGAAGGTGTCCCTGCCATGGCAAGGGGGGGATGAGACGATCCTTAGGGCCCCTTCCCACCCAAACCATCCAGGGAATAATTCCCAAGAAAAGTAAGGCTGAGCCTGAGGATTCACCGGGCTCTCATCAAACCTCTCCAAGCAGCACGATCCCAACGTTCCGAGCTACCAAAGCAGCTCATCCCAAAAAAACCAACCCTGCACACGCCTCCTCATCCCACCCCGCGATGGGTAAGGAATGGGGGAAGCCACAAACATCCCACAGGCAGCACGGCTCCGTTTGAATTCCACTCTTCCCAAACACCCAACAGATCCCCAGACGTTCCTAACAACCTTCAACCAATTCTCCCAAAGGATCCCTTTCTCCAGGTAAAAGTTCTGTGCTGGGAAAAGCACATCCAAATTAAGGCACGCCACTAACGAACGGAACGCCGGGATTCGAGGTGGGGATGGGGAAACAACAACCCTAAAAACACCAGGACAGCTCCCAAAAACTTTCTGAGTCCCAACACGCAACAGCCAACTCAAGGAAACCCCAAAACCAGGCCAATTAATCCATAATTCCACTAGAAAGTCGTTAGAGGAGCCGCTCCAGCTCCTTTCAACAGGCCAGGTTGGCACCACCGGACATTTTTAGCCAACAAACAGCGACATGAGACAACGTGGACAATTTTGGATACCAAATTCCAAGTGCCAGATCAACCCCAGGCACAAGGGTCCCTCCACAGGCTCCAAATGACAAAGGTAAAACACCTGAATTAGCCTAAAAGTTTTGGGATGAACGAGAGTCCATTGGACCCAGAGGGTCACCAGGGAAGTGATCATCCCACCAGGATTTACTCCCATCCCAGGAGCCATGTCTGGCAAAACACAACCTGGATTCCAAAGGAAAGTCTCCATTCCTCGCTAATTTTAGAAGGCTCAGCCACCGGCATCGTTTCAGCTGCAACAAGGGGAAGCCGTTCCTCAGCTGCTCCAGGTGGGCACGGGCAGAACTCGTTCAAAAAAGGTTTGCTCTGTTGTCCCTGCTCAAAAAAACCACCATTTTTAGCTTTGCCTCCAATCCGGCCGTTGCTTGGAGGGTGCTCCGTGCCAGATGTCTGCTCCTTCCACCCCAGAGCTGGCAAAGTTTATGGAGCCCCTGAATCCTTCGCCAAGGAAGTCTAAAAATGTAAAAATAGCGTTGAGAACCAGCGGGAAACGGGTGTGGGGGGAGAAACCCGGCAGGGACGGAGTGACTTCTCAGGAGAGGCGATAAAGCCGGAGGCCCTGGCGGGATCAAGGGGGTGGGTTGGTGAAATTCCCCCTCCAAAGGAGAGCCAGAGTTCCCGGCCATTAGGCTGCTCCCCCTTCCCTGGCTCCTTCCTCCTGGCAGAAAATGGGGTCAGGGCAAGGGCCGCCCGAGGGGAGAGAATTCCAGGGCTAAAACCAAGACGAGGCTCGGTAACTAGGAAAAACAGCATTAATAACAACAATAATAATAAAGAAGGTACAGAAAAATGGCCCCGCGGGGAGGCCGGGACACGTCCGCACGCTCCGCCCGGCTCCCCCCGCGCACCCCCGGGCAGGGACGGGACAGGGAAGGGGACACGGCAGGGGCAGCGGGGACGCAGCCCCGGAGCCGACCCGGCACCCGCGGCGCGGCCGCTCCCGCCGCCCGCGCCCCGCGCTCCCCGCGCCCGCCCCGGCCGCGGCCATCACGCGAGGCCGGGGATGCGCGGCCTACCCCGGACCGGCGGGAGGACGGCGGGAAGGAGGAGGGCGGCGGGCCGGGGAAAGGGCAGGGGCGAGGGAGCGGGAAGGGGAAGGGGAACGGGAAGGGGAAGGGGAAGGGGAAGGGGAA